GTGTGTGTGTGTGTGTGTGTGTGTGTGTGTGTGTGTGTGTGTGTGTGGCATCCAATAACATAATGCCAAACTACCAAAAGGAAATAAAAGTTGTCATAAGTTAAACATTAGCTGACTGAGGAGAACAAGAGTCCTTTTGTTTGGCAGAGGTGGCGACCCTGAACGCCCCCCTCTCTCGCCGCCGGTACCCGTCTGCTCCTTTAATGAAGTCACTGAGTTCAGGCTCGAGGTGATCGGAGCAGGTACACAAACTCCAGACTAGCCATGTATGGCAAGGTGGATGACCTCGCACAACAGATGCTGAAATAACTGTTGTTGGGAAAGCTGCTGTGAAAGGACAGATGTTATAAGCTCCCACCTACTGAACTGGAGGAATTTAGTAGATATAGGTTTTGTATTTCTTCGATTATTCTGATGAGATCGCTTCATTTTGTGTTCGTGGATAAAATGTCTGCATTTAATTGGGATCAATCCTTATTTTCCATTTGCTTCACGGTTAGACAACAATAATCATCTCATTCAGTGGCTCCCAAATTGGTTGGTTACCCCGAGAAAAATAACTTTGATATGATTAACAGAAGAGGAAAGCATAAAAAAAGCATTAGCACTACACAGAGTAGTAGAGATGTTTGTACATATATTAACCATGCTTTTTTGTTTTCCTTACTAAAGTTAAGCTGAAGCATCAGTAACATCTGAGGATGACATGTAATGTAAAGTCCATGATATCTAACAAAGATGTCTTCTAAAAGAAGCAGCCTGAAGTCAAACAACATGTACGATTCACGAAACATTTTGTCTTCCCTCAAATCTTAGTTTTTCCTCGTAAATGGCTGAATGAGTTCACCTTTTCAGAAATTCTTTTATTAAAAACAAGGACTTTGTTTTTGATAAAACTAGTCACAACTGTTGCTGGAACGCATCTGAAGAACAAGTCGATTTTCCTTTGAATTTTAACTTTCTTTTATTGTATTTAACCTTCGTCACTCGACCGAGAGAAGTTTGAGAGCTTCTGTTTTGGGCAAAGCTTCTATGGCTCTTTGTAATATCTGACCTGTGCAATTTTAATGATTTATCATAGTTAATTGAGTAGTAAGGAAGTAGGAGTAGGAGTAGGAAGGAGTAGTAAGTAGTGGGAAACCATGTGACTGTCTCTGGAGCTGCCTGTGTGTCTCTCTCAGAAACAAGTAGTCAGAAACAGACTGAGGTGAAGGCGCCGCCATCGTGGTGGAGACTCATAATTGGTTGGAAGGGAAGTAGAGATTTCAGTAAAAATGAAAGGTCTAATACAGCTGAATGTCTCTCATTGGAGGTTCCCGTTTTTTTAATACTGTCACTCCAACATCACACCTCCTCCCACGCATCGGCATGTCAGTATCTCTGTGAAAAATGAGAACACAACATGTTAGCTGGTGACAGATATGTTTGATGGGAATTTCTCGTCAGAACTAATCAGTTATTCGTTGGTAAAGTTGAGTTCCTTGTGTTCCTTTATGACTCATTGTTTCACTGTGCGTGGTTTTGTGTGTGTCATTTCCAGAATCGCCACAGAAGCGACAAACAAGTCAACAACAGAAAAGTTCAAGTCCTTATTGACAGAAAGTAAGTTTGTTCGTGTGAATCATGGGAAATAAACCTGAGCTCATGAATCCAAAGTTTCCTGTAGTCAAATCCTTGTTTTTGTGTAGCATCATTGTGATCCTTCTGTACAGGTTGGTGCTCCTCAGGGAACCTTCCTGGGTGCCCTTTAGCTTTATTAAAGTCACATCAGCTCTAAGGGTGGATCATGCCCATTAGAGCCCACGTACAAATCAAACATGCCTCACATATTCAGAATGGCAGAGCTCGGGTCAAACAGGATAGAAAACAAGCACTCCCCACCATCCTGCAGCTGCTTCCTGTTGGCGGCACTACATAGAGTTTAGGTTATTTAGCACACGAGGAATACACAGATGGGTCAAAATACAGGAATATACTAAAATATAAAAGAAAGGTCGACGATTTCCAGTGAGTTTGTCCAAAAATATAAAAATTGAAAGTTATACAAAGGCAAAAGTGGGATTGAAATATGCATTTTAGACAGAAGTCCCAACACAACCACACCCCATTAAGAGATTATTGAATAGGCACCAAAAAAAATTCAATATTATTTCATGTTTTTAAAGCTTTTTTGTTGCCTAAAACCAAATTTAGAGATATTAAATAAAAAAAAAAAAAAGATCAGAGTCAGGCCTTAACCAGGCACCATGTGTAATTTGTGTCTATTTGTAAAGTGTAAACCTGCACGAATATCTAGAAACAATAGGAGCACATGACCACAGTGTCCTCATAACATGAATTAATTATTGGCTTCTGTATAAACTTAATACAAGAACAATACATATGATCCACATATTATGTTTAACATTGATGAGCTTAGACCTCTGTGGGTTCACAGTAAGATCCCAACATTAACTGTGTATTTCGATATGTTTGGTGCATTGGATAAAAACATTAGTATGTATGTGGTGTGTGCGTTTGCTCCTGGGGTTTCTCTGGTTGGCTGCTGGTCAGCACTGTTTAGTGTTTACGGCTCAAAGAGAAGCAGCTGCTGGATGGTCGGAAGTTTTCTTCCTGTTGACTTGATGTCTGCTTTAGTTAAATATGTAAGGAATGCTTGATTTGGTATTTGTTGGACCCGCAGCACAAACATTGTTCCACATTCATTATTAGAGTGACCTCTTTTCTTTTTCAATAAAAAAAGCTGAAAACTATTAAGTTTCTACCATTAAATGAAGCAAAGACTGTGAATGTGGGTATTATCAGAAATGCACCATTGAATCAATTTTGATTGAGGTTTGGTATTAGAGGCCTGATGGAGGGTAAAATGTCATTTCTCAAGAGTTAAAACTAAAGTGAGGCGCGTGCTCAAACTAACAAATTTCATAATTTGATGAGGCTATTAAGTATTTTTGCAATTACGCTATTAATCAATTATTTTGTAAGAGGTGAAAACGAATGACAAATCGTCATCACAAGCCCCACCGTGACTGTTAAGTTACTTATATAGCTACAAACTGTCCAAAAATCCAACATTTTATAATTCAACAACTGAAAAACATTCACAGAAATCAAATTTCAACTGAGAAGAAGTGAAATAACTTAATTCTACAACAAAAATCTACTGAAACATTGAGTGTGCAAAGATTAATCTGTCGATTTCTTTAAAATTAAGTGTATGATGTTTTGAAGAAAAAAGATTAATTAACATGTTACATTGTGAAAAAGCCCATTATATATTAATTACATTACGATCACTAACAAACTAGAAAGAGTTGAAAGTAAACAATGTCCTCTGAACTGAGGCTTGAAATGAAAAACCCAGAAAAGCATCAAATATTTGTCTTCAAGCCAACTTTTAAAGAGTATTACTGGCAGACAGACAGACGGAGAGATAATACAGGAACATGCAGTGAAGGAAAGGGAGCTAATATCAGGATGACCTTGGTGTTCACTGCTTATTTATGGCCAGTTTATTTCCTGACGATCCTCAAAGAAAAGGGAAAAGAAAAACCTTTCCTGTGAACTCTGCAGCTCTGAGTCCAAACATTCAACTTAACGAGCCCGTTTCCTGTTTCCTGTTCTCAGACTGCACAGTGAGAAATGGATGGACGTCCAGGTGGGAGACATCATCAAGCTGGAAAACAACCAGTTTGTCACCGTGAGTAAATTCCTGTCGATCTTGATTTATTGTTTTAGTACATTTTTTTTGTTTCTTTTCTTATATTGTTTAAATATTAAAATGTTGCCTCATTACATTTTTGGGGGAATTTGCAATATTCAGTGTTTGGACAACTTCCTCTTTTCATTTGCAAAAGAAAGAAAATCCACAGAGTGCTCGGTAAAAGCAAAGACTTTAACTGGTGTAAAGTTACAATTACCTCCTCCTTTGATATCCCTTACTGTATCTATTAAAGATAAGGGACATCAAAGAAGGAAGTAATTGTAACTTTACTTTATTATTAGTGCTAGAAATCGCTGCTTTATCTCACAGATCTTTGCATGCAGTGGTAGTCTAAATATACGGGACATTGTTCATATATAGTATATGGCTCCAATAGTATGATAAACAAGAACACTAATGTTTTGTTGATCAGAAAGACAAACAGGTTTTAGTGATGAATCCCTCTGTGCTGTAATTACAGGCCGACCTCCTGTTGCTCTCCAGCAGTGAACCTCTCAACCTGGTTTACATCGAGACGGCAGAACTGGATGGGTCAGTCTATTTCTAGTGTCACGTCATGATGTGAGCTCTTTTTAACGTACAATTAACCCATCAACAGGTAGTCACACCTTCATTGTCTTTCATTTGTGTCCTCATTTATTTCTTCGTCCTCTTCTGAACCACTTTCTCTTCCTTCTTCTCTTTGTCTCGACTGTATCACCCTCACTATTCCTTCTTTTCCTTACCATTGTCCTCTTCCTCCTCCTCTTCCTCAGAGAGACTAACCTGAAGGTGAGACAGGCCCTGACCGTGACAGGAGACCTGGGAGAGGATATCGAAAAACTGGCGGACTTCAACGGTAAGACTGCTACAAGACAACCAACTGCTGGTTTCTAGCAGTTTGTTTTTCCAATTACAAGCGAGCTCAGTATATAAAAACACAAAGTATCTGATAATGTCTGTGCATTTGTGTCCTGATTGCTCACCATCTCGGTCTCTCTGTTTTGTGTAAACACCGAATGTTCAGAAACCTGGATAACAGCGTCCTGCTTTCTATCAGATTTCGGCAGGTAGCATATGCAGGTTTCTGAAACCAGGATATAAAGTACATGAACAACGTACAACCAGGACAAGACAAATCATACCAAAGATTTAGAAGATGACTAAATAAAAAAACTACTTCTACTTACTAAGATTGCTGTTTGCAATTTACAGAAAGTTTGACTTGTATATGCAGACATCTCATCTTGTTCATTGTTGCTTTTTATATATATATTTGTTAATAAAGTGGTAACTCTAAATGTTGTCACGATTCGAACACTAACCCCTCATTTCAGAAGTTTTCTGTTGCAGCTGTTTATTTTTATCTCATCTTATCATCAGAACCATGCATCTGCTCATTGATTTGGCTTTAATCCGTTTGAATGAACCCTTTTGTAAGAGGGTCTTTTTGAGAAATTCCTAGTCGTATGCAAACATGCAATAGTCACACATATAGTAAACTATATGCACACATGCTTTAATAGGTCATAACTCGCCTCCCTCTCTCTCTCGCTCTCTCCCTCTCAAGGCGATGTACGCTGCGAACCCCCCAACAACCGCCTGGACCGCTTCACAGGAACACTAACGTACGCCGGCCACAAATACCCGGTGGACAACGAGAAGATCCTGCTGCGAGGCTGCACCCTGAGGAACACCGAGTGGTGCTTTGGACTGGTGCTGTTTGGAGGTGGGGAAGGATTCCTCAAGGACCTGTAATTATATGGAACCAGTGGAACCTTGTTAGGAGAGAGATAAGAAGAATAGGACTTGAAGCATCTGATTTGACTCTTATTTCACGTCAAATAGAGGAAGAAATGAGTTAAGAAGATGATGACTTACTGGTTTCTGTTCCTGTTTTTTTTGCAGGTCCAGAGACGAAGCTGATGCAGAACTGTGGGAAGAGCACTTTCAAGAGGACCAGCATAGACCGCCTGATGAATGTCCTCGTCCTTTGTGTGAGTCCTCAAATTATGATTTTTTATTTTTTTTTTGTTGTACAAACTGTTCCTTTTTAACTTCCTGTCCCTTTTAGCTCAGGTGTCGTTCTTGATGGACCGACCTTTGACCTCTGAATTCTATCCAAAACGTGCAGATTTTTGGCTTCCTGGCCTTCATGTGCACCGTCCTGGCGATAGGAAACTGCTTCTGGGAGCTGAACGAGGGCTCACAGTTCACGGTGTTCCTGCCCAGACAAGATGAAAACAACGCCGGCTTGTCCGCCTTCCTCACGTTCTGGTCCTACGTCATCATCCTCAACACCGTGGTGCCCATCTCTCTCTACGTCAGGTAGCAAAAGGAACACACAAGCAACAAAATCAACCAGATTCTATCTGCTTCTTTCTTTAATTCCTGTATCTGCGTCTCACGGCAGTGTGGAGATCATTCGTCTGGGGAACAGCTTCTACATCGACTGGGACAGGAAGATGTACTACTCGCGGAACGACATGCCCGCCGAGGCTCGCACCACCACGCTGAACGAGGAGCTCGGACAGATCAAGTACGTCTTCAGTGACAAAACAGGGACGCTCACCCAGAATATCATGACCTTCAACAAGTGCTCCATCAACGGAAAAGCCTACGGTAAGATTCGAGACGTCGAGAAAAAACCCACTAATAATTGCTAAATTTTTTCCTTGTTGATATCTTTCATATCAACAAGGAAAAATACCAGAAAATATAAAACGTGAAGAAATATAACTACAATATAAACAGTTTTATGTATCCCAACAATAAAAACAGTGTGTTTCTTCTATATTCATCATGTAACTGGTTCATTTATGTTTCTTTTCTTCTGTTTTCTTTCTCTTCTTTTCAGGGGACGTGTTTGACTCCACAGGTCAAAGACTAGAAATCACTGAGGTGAGTTGGACTTCAGCAATCCTTCATGCCTAAATGGCAAATTAGGTGATTTGTTGGTGTTGTTACGTACTCCACAGCTTTCCTTTATGTTCACAACTTTATCATCTCGTCATCAACAATAACTGAAGAGCATTTACTAATTACTGTCGCAAGGGTTACATCATGTCGATGAGGCTTGAGGCTCCCTCTTTTTCACTCCTCCGTCTTGTCCTCCTCTCCCCCCCCCCCATCTCTCTCTCTCTCTCCCTCTCGCTCTCTCTCTACAGCACACGGAGACGGTGGACTTCTCCTTCAACCAGCTGGCTGACCCCCGCTTCATGTTCCACGACCACTCGCTGGTGGAGGCGGTGAAGCTGGAGAACCCGGAGGTCCACGCCTTCTTCAGACTGCTGGCCCTCTGCCACACCGTCATGGCCGAGGAGAAGAGAGAAGGTGAGGAGGGACGTAGATATGCACTTTTTAATGATACAACACAATTATTAATGATAATTCATAGCTAATTATTTCCCTGAACCCCCCTGACAGAGGGCCACACTCCCCACTCTGAGAATCACTGGATTAAATAAAAAATGTGTTGACCAGAAATCACCAGCTCGACCCGCCTACCTGAAATCTCGTCCTCCGTTGATCTCTTTGCTCCTTCAGGGGAGCTCTTCTACCTGGCCCAGTCTCCTGATGAGGGCGCTCTGGTGACGGCGGCAAGAAACTTTGGATTTGTCTTCCGCTCACGAACACCAGACAGCGTTTCCATCGTGGAAATGGGAAAGCAGCGCAGCTACGAACTCCTGGCCATCCTGGATTTCAACAATGTCCGCAAGAGGATGTCCGTCATAGGTATGCTGATAATGTATTATTGGGAATAATATAATAATAAAGGTTCCTATATAAATCGTACTGTTCTCAAACAGCTGCATTGTGTGTATTTGTGTGCTCAGTTAGGAGTCCGGAGGGGAAGCTCTCTCTCTACTGTAAAGGTGCAGACACGATCATCTACGAGAGGCTGCATCAGTCCTGCAGCAAGCTGATGGGCGTCACTACAGAGCACCTCAACGTCAGTAACACTTCTCTGTGTCTTTCTTCTTTCTTGCTGGATGTTTGGATGTCTGCATGCCTGTGTGTTGGTTCTTTTGTCATGTGTGTTGGTGTGTGTGTTCACAAAGACAAAGTTCATCCTGATGTGTATGTGCTCCAGCCAGCTGTTAACATTGAGTAGGATGAAGTCTCATACTGTCTCTCTTTTATTTCAAGTCATTTCCGCTCTGTTTATTTTGTCTCTTTCTTGTTCAGTTCATGTTGTACAAAAGTTAAACTGATTATCTCATGTTTGTCTTCTCTCCTGTTGGAGTTTATTGCCTGGATCGCAACATTTACACAGCTGAGTTTCTGTTTCCAACTTCCAATGCCATCAGCCTGTGTGTGTGTGTGTGTGTGTGTGTGTGTGTGTGTGTGTGTGTGTGT